AGGTTTAGGGGGGGAAGGCAAAAGTAAGTTTCTGTCTTCCCGGTTACACATCTACAATAACTCATAGTAAGTAATGGTCTTATGGAACACACCTAGATATGCAACATTTTACAGAAGAGTATTTGTTTGGCTCTATGATTTATTCATCTTTTTGGGGAAATGGTATTGAACACACTCTCTCTCTCTCACACACACACACACACACAAATTTACTCTGTTTTTCAGGATGAAAAAATAATGGTATATTACTGGTCACTGTGCCAGAATATACCAATAAACTGAAGTTGTAATACAAGTGCAGAAATTGAACACAATTATAATCTAGTGTGGTAATCATCTGTTGAACATGTTTTTATTTGCAAATATTCTATTTATGATAACAGACACAGCAAATCATTTAATTCTCAGTTAAACAATACTTCCTCTCTACAGGCATTTAACTTTTCCTCAGCAAATATATATCTAGTTTTGATATTATTACTGTGTCTCTTATAGTTTTATATAATTTTTCATTCTTGAAATGTTCCATTTATAAAATAATTTTAAATTATGAGAAAGGAAGCAGGTTTAAAAATGTATTATCTTGGAAATTATTTGCTTTACAATTGACAGATAAACAACTAACATGATTATTGTACAAAAGAGCTTCTACTCCTCAAGAGACAAAAGTTAAATACAAAAACTAAAAAAGAAAGAAATGCAAAATTGGGGGGAAAAAGACACAAAGATCTAGCCTTAGAAGAAAAACCTAAGCAATTATGTTAAAGGTGTTGTTCCTTATATACTTACTATAGGTGTATGGCAAATTCTGGATTGTAGTGTTAAATTGAATAACATCAAATCTTACCAATAAGGAAATGTTTTAATAAAGTAATGGTGTACATAGTTTAGAATAAATTATGAAGCATTAATACCACATACTGTTTTAAAGCAGAAAGTACAAACAGTAACGATGCATTACACTGGGTTTTTAAAAAAAATTGTTATTATTGCTGTACAATGTGACATTTACAAAAGTTCTTACAATATATTGTAGTTGAATTCACCCCCTCGGTCATTCTCCTTTATTCCTCCTCCCCCATTCCTGGACCAGTTTCAACAATTCTCATTTTTCCATTTACATACATGTGTACATAATATTTCCACCATATTCATCCTCCTACATCCTTTCCTTGGATCCTCCCCTTCACAGTTCTAACAACCTTAGACAGGACCTGTTTTGCCTTCCTGTTTTCCACTTTTTTTAAAAAGAAAATTACATTTGCTTGCTACTATAGCTATACTGGGGGTTTCATTGTAACATTTCCATGTATATCTGTACTATAACCCAAAAAAGGTCCATCTCCTCTATTTTGGAATTACTGTTTTCTCAGATGAACAGGAATCCTTGCTTATCTACGTATTTGATGGTAAACTGAGGCAAAAACACTGATATCCAACATTTAGTACAAAGTGTATAATACACTAAGGCTTAAATTTTCATGTACTGTTTGCAAGCATGAACAGGAAGCAAAATTTTATCAAGTTCTTAGAAACCCCCTTTGTTAAAAAACAAAAAAACAAAAAAACACTGACTCTTCACCTGGTACCACAAGTAAGCAAGAAAAAGGATGGTATCTGCCTTCAGTTTACATCTGTCTCCTTTTGTTAGAACTTGGGTCAGACACCTGCTTAATTCTACATTAGGCATGTAGATCATTCAAGGCCTGTCTGTCTAAAAACTGATGATACTTATCCACCTCATACCTCTTCTCAGATGAAGGCACAGAGGTAAGAGAAATTAAACATTCTTCCATCAGTGTTTTTAATGCCCTATTCCAGAACTCTTAAGAAGTACCTGAAAGTCTGTACTCTTGGACTCCCAGAAAAGCAAAGAGTCACAGACAGATCACTCTAAGATGAGATCATCCCATAATAATCTCAGAGGAACAAGATTGTCCCCTCAAGTGACAATGACTTCTGCAGAGTCTTCCTGTAGAATCAGAACTGAGATAAAATGAATGGGAGTACACTATGACTAAGATTGCTTAATTATGCCTACTTGTTGCCCCTACCCCAATTCTGCCTGTATGTAAACCTAAAACTCATGTCAGTACCTCAAATATGGGCTGAAATGACTAACATCCATTTTCCCAAAATTTTCAAAAATTTTTGATTAAAATTTTTTCTTTCCTTTTCATGATTATATTTGTTTACTTTCTTTCAGTAAGTAGGCAGACTTGACATGTTGAAACTCCAGAGTCAGGCCTTTGGCTTAGCACTACAGAAGCATAAGCACTACAGAAGAATATGGTAACATTTACACTGAGGTAGAGACAAAAGAAAAATGCTACATATGACATTACAGGAAAAATACTGTTGAATATGGTAGAGTTACAAAGTGTGGGCAAATGTTTTCATATAGGAGCTTGAACTTTATTTGAATACTGTTCAGTTTATGCATAAGGTAACCTAATACACCTCTATATTTTATTGGCTTCTGTTTCCTGACTCCATTTACCAATTCTTGGGAATGTATGAACATTCAATATTTAATATTCTGGGCAAAAATTGATACTTACAGTATTACAATAGACAATTTGACTTGGAAGTTCTTGTGGGCCCTTAAGTCAGGATATAATCTCTAGGGATCATGAGGAAAAATAGTTTAAATGGCTTTTTTAATAATGAGGAGAAAAGCATGCACACATATGAATTACTTCTTTGACCTTAGAAAAAAATCTTTGGAGTTTGCATAATTGAGTCTATTATAAAATGAACATCAGCTAAAAGGGCACTTAAATCCCAAATGACTTCTTTTAAAGAGGATTCTAATGTCTGTTCCCTATTAATTACCCTTTGACTTGCTTGCTACATAGATGTGATATTTATTCTGCAGTCTTTATTTGCTAGAAATTTTACATTTAACTAAATGTAACCTTCAAATATATTTTAATTGTATATAACTGTTTCAAAGAAAAATTGATTATGTATAGAAGGATAATGGATAATTGTTGTAGCTATATTTATGTGGATACTTGATTGGTATATTTCAGCGTGAGTCATTTCCAAGACTGCTACCTATTAAATTTATGTTAAGTAGGATTTATTTTCTGTACTCATGAAACTACCTGCAGTCTACTAGTTTGTTTTGCTTCAGGGAATGTCTTTGACTGGTTCCCTAGAACATAGAGCATGAGGCAAAACTGTGTTTGATGTTTTATTTATTGTAAGATATAATCACAAAGAGGAGAAACAGAAAAATAAAGTGAGCAGAGAATATTAGGAAGCAAATACAAAGAGAAAGATATTTGAGCAAAGTGCTGAGGTTAACTGAATGTGGAGGTAACTATTAAGAGTAATCAACTTTGTCGTTCATCTGTTCTGGTATTCCCTTGTCTTTAAACACTAGATTGACTGGTTTGGGATACATGCTGGTGAGGTAACCTAGACCTTCATTTCACCTTTTCTTGTCTTTACTGAATAGAAGTTACTGCATGGTTCTTATACTGTCTTGTTCTAAAGTCTCATGCATAATTATTCTTATGCCTCTCATATGGATATTTTCCCCTATATCTTTGAATGACAGTAGCATTAACAGTTAAAATCAGTATAAGCAACTCAGGAGCATCTATTTGAAATTTAAGTATATACAACTTTAATATTCAGCAACTTCACTTTTTGCCCACGAACCCGGGGGAAACACTTGAGCATCTATAAGAGACATCCTCAAGGATCATCTATAATCATGAAAAGCTGGAAGCAGTCATCAGTGGGACAGGACCAACTGCACTGTGGTACAGCCATTTTTGAAAATCATACAACAGTCATGACAAAGGAGAGGAAAGTCTACATGACCATAGAAGGTTGTGCAAACAGAAAATAAACATATTTTACTAGCTTAAAGTACACACATGCAAATGCCACTGAATTCTATTTCTATGAGGTCTGGGGATAAAGAGAGTCAGACTTGACAGGGGATTCAGCTGAACTTGCAATGTGTGAATTCGCTAATGAGCACATTACTTGATAATTTTAAATAAATGAAGTGAATATATAAAATGGATAACAATATAAAGAAATAGCGATTAAATCCATGTAGGTCAAACCTTACCTGTGCAAAAAGTTCTCTTTTGCTACTTGAATTTGTACTATTCCACCCTTCCATTTCATTTAAAAATATTAAATAATATTTTTGCAGCACACACGTTTTCTAAATTTAGTAACAGGAGAAATAGACTTGTTTATCACAGAGACACCTAAAAAGTAGAAGAGCCAGCTCAGGTTATTCATTCCTATAACCACAGCTACTCAGGAGGGGACAGCAAGAAATACTGTGGCTTACTGCACAAGCAGGAAATCAAGTTGCTTTGGAGAAGGATGACGTCGTTGGAGGACTTGTAGACAGACCAGTGAGGTGGAGTCTTCAAGGGATGAGCACCTGGGTTCCTGGACATGTGGCCATGGTGCAGGGCTAGGGCCAGCTGAGGGTCCACGCCTCCTCCTGCATGCGCGGTACCAGGCGCTGGGGCGAGGCAGGGCCCCAGTCCTGGAGTCTCAGGCTGCTGCCAGCATTCTCAGCGCCGGGCAGGGGCATAACGTGTACTAGAGAATGAGATAAGTAAACACTCAACTTTGTTCACTGCAAAGTGGCTGCTGGCAGGAGGCCGGCAGGGGGCGCCCTGGAGCAGCGCCTAGGGTGGAAGCTCTAGAAGAGCAGGGCCTCCGCACGGACTCCATGCCCACTGGCAGGCCTTGGCTTGCTGTGTTGGCCCCACAGCCAGACAGCGCTCGCCCCACAAGCCCAGGCAGTCTCAGAAAGTGGGCAAGGTGATCAACGAGGGGTGACGGCACTCCGGAGCAGGGCTTGGCAATGGTAGGTCCCTCTTCCTATCTGAGGAGCGTCTAGCCCGGGCGGTGGGATGGGTCGGGAAGTGGTGGGGGTTAGGGGAGGTGGCGGGGTCAGGCAGGACATTGAGTCAGGTTGCGGGGTCAGGCAGGAGGTGCGTCAGGCTGCCGGCATGGGGAGGGGCGGTCAGGCAGTGGGTCTGGCTGCGGGCAGCAGGGGTCAGGCGGGAGGTGTTCGGCTGCGGTCGGCGGGTTCAGGCGTGCGGTGCGTCGGGTTGCCGGGGTCAGCGGGCGGCGGGGTCAGGCGGGAGGTGCATCTGGCATTTGACGGCGAAGGTCAGGCGTGCAGTGAGTCGGGTTGCCGGGGTCAGTGGGCTGCGTGATCAGGTGGGAGGTGTGTCGGGCTGCCCGCATAGGGGGGTGGTCAGGCAGTGGGTCTGGCTGCGGGCAGCGGGGTCAGGCGGGAAGTGCGTCAGGCTGCGGAAGGCGGGGGGTCAGGCGGGAGGTGCGTCGGATTGCGGAAAGCGGGGGTCAGGCAGGAGGTGCGTCGGACTGTGGACGGCGGGGGTTAGGCGTGTGGTGCGTCGGGTTGCCGGGGTCAGCGGGCGGTGTGGTCAGGTGGGAGGTGCTTTGGGATGAGCACGGCAGGGGTCAGGCGGGAGGTATGTCGGGCTGCGAGAGGTGGGGGTCAGGTGGGATGTGCGTGGGGATGCTGGCAGTGTGGGTCAGGCTGGAGGTACCAGGCTGCGGGTGGCGGGGTCAGGCTTGCGGTGCGTCGGGTTGTGAGCAGCGGGGTCAGGCGAGCGGTGCATCGGGCGGCGGGGCGGTCAGGCGTGCAGTGCTTCAGGCGGCGGGGGTCAGGCGGGAGGGCCGTCGGACTGCAGGCGGGGGGTCAGGCTGGAGGTGCTGCGGTGGCGGGATCAGGCAGGCAGTGTGTCGGGTGTGGGCCGCGAGGTCCGGCCGTGAGGTGCATCGGGTTGTGGGCGGCGGGGGTCAGGCTGGAGGTGCTTCAGGATGTGCGCGCTGGTCTGGTGGGAGGTGCTTAGGGATGCGCGCGGCGAGGTCAGGCGTGCAGTGCTCCGGCGGCGGGGGTCAGGCGGGAAGGGGTCGGGCTGTGAGTGGCGTGGGTCAGGCGGGAGGTGCGTCAGGATGCTAGCGGCGGGGGTCAGGCGTGCAGTGCGTCGGGTTATGGTTGGCGGGATCAGGCGTGCGGTGCGTCGTGCGGCGGGGTTCAGGTGGGAAGTGCACAGGGCTGCGGGCATCTGGGGTCAGGCAGTGCGTTGGGCTGCGCGTGGCGGGGGTCAGGCAGGAATTGCTTCCAAATGAGCGCGGCGGGGGGTCAGGCTTGAGCTGCGTGGGGATGCGTGTGGCCTGGGTTAGGCGGAGGTGCACCGGGATGGGGGCGGCGGGGATCAGGCGGCGGTGGGTCAGGTTGTGGGCAGCGGGGTCAGGCGAGCGGTGCATCAGGCGGCGGGGGTCGGGCGTGCTGGTGCGTCCTGCGGCGGAGGTCAGGCGGGGGTCAGGCGGGAGGAGGTCCGGCTGCACGCAGTGTGGGTCAGGTGGGAGGTGCGCCAGGATGCGGGCGGAGGGGGTCAGGCGTGTGGTGCATAGGGCTGTGGGTGGTGTATCCATCGGGCTGTGGTTGGCGTCAGTCAGGCGTGCTTTGTGTTGGGTTTTGGGGGTCAGCGTGCAGTGCATCGAGTTGTGGGCAGCAGGGGACAGGCTTGTGGTGTGTCCGGGTTCTGGGGCGTCAGCGTGCCCTGCGTTGGGTTGTAGGCGCATGGGTCAGCAGGCAGTACGTTGGGCGGTGGGGGGTCAGGCTTGCAGTACCTCGGACACGGGGTGGGTGTCGCTGGGGTCCGGCCCCAGACCCCGGAGGAAGCACAGCCATGGATAACCTTGGAGCAGCACTGGCTAGAGAGCTGGTGGTCTTGGTGCAGAAGAAGCCACAGAGCTCCGACTTGAAGCTTATGAACTCTGTGCTGTGGGGCAGGAACAGTTGGAAGGTGTTGCCCCGCCCTTGGTGCTCTTGGCTGGTGACAGGGGAAAGCAAGTCACACCTTCTCCTCCTGCCCTGAAGCCACTGCCTCTTCCCCCAGAACTGGTCTGAGGCTCAATGAGCCCTGGCAAGGCTCCTGCTGCACTGCTGTCCTGCAGAGCAGCTCTGCAACCAGGGCTACTGTGGGTGCTTGTAGATGCTGTTTTGAGACCAGGTTTGTCACTGTGTTTCCCAGGGCTACAAACACAGTACTATGATTTGTGGGGGGGTTGGTTGAAAGTAGAAATTATGGTATAGGTCACATTGGTTTTCAGAAAATTGTGAGGTTGAATGTGGAGAGATTATGAGGAACAAAATGAGAATTTTTTAGGAAAATTGTGTATTATCTGAAATAATTGTTAGTAGTTGGAATAACTGTTCTAATATTTGCTTTTTTATGGAATCATTTCAGAAAATCTGCAGATCATATTCTGTGGGATGGATTCTTCTGAAGACTTGAGAAGTCAGCATGGACATTTAAAACCAGAACTGTCATTTCTAAGTATGCTGACTGCTTTCAACGCGAGAAATTCCTCCAGGAAGACAAGGACTACAAAGCTCTGAGAGGACAGAAAGGGTGAGCATTGTTTCAGTCCAGAAGAAGTTTTGAAGCTCATTGTATTATACACAGGAACTTGGTTGTCAAATGTTGATTTAGGATTCTGCAAGTTCACTGTCATGGTGTACTTATAAATGAAGGCATCTTTTGCACATCACATTTGCTCAATACATTTTTTGTGGCACTAGGGTGTGAATTCAGACATTGTGTCTGCTAGGGAGGCTCTCTAACTCTGAAGCCACATTCCAGCTTCAACACTCTTAAAAGTTGCCTAAGGTAAATATTAACAGCACAGTGTCTTTAAGAACCTTCCTAGTCAAGTAAGTGGTATGGGATTTTTGTGTTTTAACACCACTTTATTTATTCTTTTAAGTATTGGGAATTGAATCTAGGGCTTCATGCATGCTAGGCAAGTGCTCTACCACTTGAACCCTGCCACCAGCTTAATTTTGTTTTTTGAGACATGAGCTTGCTGTGTAGCCCAGGCTGGCCTCCTACCTCAGCTGCCCAATTGCTGACATTATAGGTATGCGCCATTAAACCCAGATTTTAATTAATAAATCTTACAATTTGTTGCTCACTCACATGAAAGCTGTCTCACTGTAGTGCACTATCATTGCCTATAGTCAATAAATATTAAGCCACTGAAGCTTTTTCCAGAAGGAAGATATCTGGTCTTAAAGAGTAAGTTTTATTGCCAAATGTCTATGGTGCTCTGACAGATAAGAGGAAGCTAATTTAACCTTGCAACTGGATAACTAGATATTAGGAACTTTGGTTGGACAAGAATTACAATCTTTGAGCAGAAATCATTTTTGGAAGTGGTTTCTGATTTTTCTACTGAAATAACTCTTAGAGGGAGAGCAGCTCACTGCAGGTATTTTGAATTATTTATAGAGATGGAGTGATGGAATTTAGAGACCTTAATTACTTGAAAGGAAGAGATGGGTGCTGAATGTACAGAGAGTATAGACTGGTGGAGTGGCTCAAGCAGTTAGAGTGCCTGACTACCATGCATGAGGCCCTGAGTTCAAATTTCATTACCACTGCAAAAAGAAATAGAGTAAGGCTAGCCAGATGTAAAAGTTCAGGGTCTTAAAAAAACTCCTGTAGCTAGAAAGGAGATTTCAGACAAAGATATTTCAAAAGATGAAATACTTTTCTTCTCTATGAGTAGTATGTACTTATTTTAGCAAACTTGGAAAAGAATAAAATTATAATAAAGAATATATATACACACTCACATACTTTTTCCCCTCTGTGCTGAGGATTAAACCCAGGACCTTTGCACATACTGGGCAAGTGTTCTACAACTGAGCTACATCTCTGACCCAAGAAGTAGTATTTTAAAGCCATCAATCAAAATAGTTGTGAGAATGATTAGTGATATAATTTGGCAAGAGGAATGGTACTGGAAGAGAAGCATTTTGAGCAGTAAAAGAATGCAGTCTGATGCAAGTACGCAAGTGGAATCTAGATGTGAATAAACTGTGATTATACAGTTTTTTATCACTGGTTTTCAGATTTCTTTCTTTTTTTCACACAAAAAAGCCTGCCCTTTAAAAAATACTTAGATGATATCACAAAAAGCAGAACAGCTGATGAGCTTCACAGCATAAAAATGCCTGAGAGCCCTGACATTGAAGATTATATTCACTGGGTTATGCTTTGTTACAAAATATAAAAAGATTGGCAGGTAAAAGTGACTCCTGAGGCCAAGTGATACAGCATTGTTCAAAATGGTATTTATAATTCTATTTTTTGACAGCTTTTTGACATACTGAGCAAATTGACAGCAAAAAGCTTGATCTGGATTTGATGTCATCACATGTTTACTTAATCAACAAATTCATATTGTGTCTGCCTGAGTCACTGGGTCAGGTGCTGTTGGAAAGTCAATAATTTGAAGTCATCTCTTTCAATTGACATAATTGTGCTGTTTACAGTTCCTCTGGATTATTAATGAATACATTAGAAGCAGTCAATCAAATAGTAGTATTTGAGGAATGTATCCTTTGAGGCGGTTATGTTTTCATTTCTCCAAACATTGTTAGAATTGTTTTGGAATTTCCTTTAGTGCACATGATCATTGTTTTGAGTATCCTCAGTTTTGTTTCCTAATGAGTTGGTTTACAAAATAATGAGTTTGAAATTAAAATTAAGTGTACCTGCATGTATTAACAATGTAAGAGTTTTTCATTTAATTTTGTTTTTTTTTCCAGTGCTGGGATTGAACCCAGTTCCTTGACTATGCTAGGCAAGTAATGCATTCTCAGATTCTGTTCTTTTTAAAAATTTTGATAATAATGGTGTTTGAAGTCAGGGTCTCTTACTTGCTTGGTAGGTGCTCTACCACTTGAGCCATACCCCTAGCCCTTTTTTCTTAGTTATTTTTCAGATATGGTCTTTTGAGTTTTACCCAGGGTGGGCCCTCAGACCTTGATCCTCCTCCTAACACAGATTGGATTATTTTGGGGTGGTGGGACTTGGGACACATAAGAATACAGGCACACAATAACATGCTCAGCTTACTGGTTGAGATGGGGTCTTGCTAACTTTGGGGATTTTATTTTGTAGTATTGGGTTTGATCTCAGGGCGTTGTAATTGCTAGGCAGGCAGTCTACCATTTGAGCCATATACCAGCACAGCCAGGTCTCATTAACTTTTTGCCTTCCCTGGATTAGAACTGTGATCCTCCTGATTTCTGCCTACCAAGTAGCTGGTATTGCTACAAGCATGAACACTCTGCCCAGCCTCTGTTCTTAACTATTTTTCATGACTTCTCAGCACTGTCCTAATGAGGATGTTCTTAACCATTTTATGAGCTCTAAATTATATTGTGAAGCATGAATGTGTGGGCTCCATATTTGATTATTTTGAAGAAAATTAGTGGTGTTCCTAATTTTGTTAAAAATATACTCAATGCTAAATTCTTTTTCTAAATTTCCTGAAGACTAGAGTCTTCATAGACTTTTTTGTTTTTGGTGGGACTGTTGGGACTGGTAATACTGGGGTTGGAACTCAGGGCTTTTCACTTGCAAAGCAGTTGCTACCCTTTAGCAACACCTCCTGTCCAAGTCTATAAATCTTTAGGTTAAAGAAGTACAGTGAACCCCTAAAAGAATAAACAGAGCCAAACCATCCAAAACCAATCACTATATTGTTTAGGAATGGATACATATGTGATAAAAAACCAATAGTAATATATTGAAATTTGGGCTGTTTGCCTGTGACGTATACCTGCATTTCTCTCTACTCAGCAGGAAGAAACAGGAGGATCGCAGTTCAAAGCCAGCTCTGGCAAATATTTCCACAACCTATATTGAAAATACTCAAGCACAAAAGGTCTGCTGGAGTGTATGGTTTTTCTTTTTTTTAATATTTTTATTGAGTACTGTTGTACTGGGTATATGTTGTTACATTTACAAAAGTTTTTACAATATGTCATAGTTAAATTCATCCCTTCCATCATTTTTCCTTTATTTCTCTCTCCCTATTCCTGGAATAGTTTAACAGGTCTCATGTTTCCATTTTCATACATGAGTACATAATATTTCC